CAATGTAAATTAATTTACTAAAAAGTTAATGTTGTTTTTATCTTTCTGTATTTAATGGACTTTCATGTAGGTACAATGTAACCTTTTATAGAGTAAGTAAAATCATCTTATGACTTCACTCTTACTGGGTGGGGCTAGATAGGGTGTTAGACTCATACTGACAAAAAAATTCGTTCCATCTTCAGATCCTGGTTAGAGATTACATTATTGACAGTAACATTTTAATAAAATTACACTTAAAATGAAAAAATATTATCTTCATAGTTACTACTACTACTTATCTCATAAACCTAAAGAACCTAGTAACTGCGGTATCGAACTAAGCAAACCGTAATTAGCTTTGATAGTTTTGTGAACTTCTCTTGTAAAGTATAGGAAGCCCATAGATGACGTCAATTTATATTATATAGGTATACTTACTTACTGAGAAAAGATAGTCAACTTATTCCTAGGAATGAATTCTACGAGGAATTACATATAAGCAAGCGCTACTAGTCTCAAATCTGGTCTAGGGTATGCAGTGAACTGAAAAACTCGTAAATTATTTACTGTTTTTTCATGGGTTAGGACGGCATCCGACTTTACGGATCACCCGAAGGTAAGCATTATACGCTACCTATGTTCACCATGAAGACGAGTAGTTTGTAGACTAAGGATTTGCGGATTGGGGAATTTCGGGATTGGATATCTGGCGAAAGGAAGCGTAAGAATTGTTCCACGCTATTATGATACGGCCGTGATATCACTTCGGTCAAATCGACCCATTCGTGTCGATTGGCGCATGTTCACTGATGTTATGTAAAGAATATGTTTTTTACATTCTTGAAATATTCTTAGCTAATATAACAGTAGTTAATAAATCCACTCTCTACCGATTTACGCATATAATGAGCGCAAGTGTAACATAATTCTTGATTTCGTGCGCATCATGCTAATATTGCTTTCATGCGCGTGCGCACTAGAAAGTGATCTCCTCCGAGGCAGATGGTTTCACTTTATCACAGATTTTATGACAGGTATTTTTTGTAAATAGGCAAAATTGTGCTCTAGTTTTATTGTGTTTAAGTACAATTTCAAACGAAGTTGTTTGAGATGATTTTTATTTAATGATTGATTGTTTGTTTTATATTTTTTGTAGTATATATATTTCAATTGCTGACATAAATAATATAAAAGCCCCAATATTTTTTTAAAGTGAAATTATATTTTTGCTAAGTGATCTATAAACACACCTCGAAACTAATTAGTTGCCTTATTACTACTACTACTAGTCAAGCACTTTATATTTTTTCCAGACTAATAAACATAAAACTTCACTTCAGGACCACAGCAAAAGCGTGTCATGTCCCTATTTAATTGAAAATTAATTAAATTTTACATTGAAAAGCACTTTTGCTAATACAAATCGGAATGCCAGGATCGTCGAAAGATATTTTTTCTTCGTAGATGACTAAGCTTTTTTTTCTTAAAAGAAGTATGTACTCTTAATTGAAATTTAAGTGTGGGAGAGCCAAGCTTCGACACGAATGGGTCGGCTCGACCGGAGTGATACCACGGCCTCACAGAATACCGACGTGAAACAACCACAGCGTTGTGTTTCGCCGTGTGAGTGAGGTTACCAGAGGCCCCTAGGAGAACCCGCCCCTAAGATGACCCACTGACCCCCAATCCTTCCCCTCCCCCGATCCCTCCCAATCCCTAAATCTCCACAACCCTAATCCCTAAAAGGTCGTTGGCAACGCACTCGTAACTCCTCTGTTGCGGCGTTGGGCGGCGCTGATTACTTACCATCAGGTAATCCGTCTGCTCGTTTGCAGACCTATTACATAAAAAAAGGTTCTTTTAGTATTTGATCTCTGCAAATTTTCTGTATCATTTTATGCGTGAATCTTTTTATTAATTAGCCATAAGAAAGCCTTATTATTTTAGTTTATTTAAATATTTTGATTAATATTGAGCTTACTTGAAATTATCTTAAGTTTGGTGATCTTAAACCGTCAGTGAAAACGAAGTAAATGGGAGTTTTTTTTCATTATAATATAAACATGACGACACCAGCTCGCTTTATGGTGGCAATGAAATGGAGAGCAATAGAGCCTATTTGCTTATAAGTAACCTATTCACTTGGGCATCACCTCATATTGACTGTACGGTTGTCGCGGTGGCTGGGCAACTGGCTGCCGCGCAACGTGTTGCGGGTTCGATTCCCGCTCGCAACAAATTTTGTGTGAACCACTAACTATTGTTCGAGGTCTGAGTGTGCTGTGTATGTGAAATTGTATGATTGTTGACACACCCACGACACAGGAGAAAAACCTAGTGTGTTCATCCTATTAGTTTCAAGTGATAACGGGTCTCAATCTAAAATTCTAATTTATCAAATTAAATAATCGTTTTTAAAGTTTAAAATTGTTTTATAGTTGTCTCACGATAGTTAGACAACTATTTATTTTTTATCACATATTTTTGGTTTACGTCGACGAACTTCAGAATAAACAAAGATCTATTATCAATTATCACATTGAATTGTTACAATCACAAATTCCTTTATTAGGATATTCATTAAGACGTTGGCGGAAGGCGTCGGCGCGTGTTCTCCCGTAATTAACTAAACTAAATACAATAAAAGCATGCACTCGTGGAAATCCTACGCAAGGATCGCCACAATGGTCGTAAGGTTGATACGACATAATATTTTTATAGGCTTTAAAAGCCTATAAAAATATACATATTTGACAGTAAATCTTTTAATAGCCAAATAAATTAATAATACCATTGGAATAATTGGTTTATTTTTAGTTTTTTAATAACTTATAGAATACTTTTTCGTTTTTAGTACTGGTCTTGTTCTAATCTCCTAGAAAAGGTAAAAAAAACAAATGAATCAGATTTTCATGATCACCTTTTTTGGTAATTAAATCATTATCATCATTATCACTAATAGCTCAAAGAAGTCCAATTCGAGACTTTTAAGCCTATTTAAGAGGTGTTTGCATTATTTTTCAGCCTTTTCTTACATTCTCTTGCCTGTCCTCTCTTTCTTTCATATCCTTATCCTATCTGCTGTAAATGTTCTTATGTAAATCTTCTTATATAAAATAAAATAATTCCTACCCACCTTCCTACTCCACGCAAAATTAGACATACGGGCTCAAGATGCCAATTTAAATAAATCAGAAAACGCTGGTTCATTACAGAATCATCAATCATCAAAGAAGGTTTATCAGAGAACTGTCCTTGGTGTTGTGTGCTTATTGTTCCTTAGTCGTTTCTTATGACCCCCGGGGGATTAGTATCCGTCACAACAACACGACTCCTTGTGATGATACAGCCTTTTCGTCAATTGTTAATATTGTTGTCTTATGTATACACATATATTTAAGTGTGGGAGAGCCATGATTCGGCACGAATGGGTCGGCTCGACCGGAGTGATACCACGGCCTCACAGAAAACCACAGCGTTGTGTTTCGCCGTGTGAGAGAGGTTACCGGAAGCCCAATCCTTCCCCTCCCCCAATCCCTCCTCAATCTCCAAATCCCTTATCCCTAAAAGGTCGGCAACGCACTCGTAACCCATCAGGCAATCCGTTGCTAACGTTTTACATAAAAAAAATGTATATATTTAAAAAGCGCACTATCCTTTGGTTATATCATCACGTTAAAACTTTTAGATAAACTTTATAGATAATAAAAGATAAACAGATTTTTCTTTTTTTTATGCTTTGTATGATAAGGTCTAGGGAAGGTTCTCATGAAAGGGAATTTGAGGAAAGTGGAGGAGAAAATTGGAAAATAGTCATCCTTTCGACACCGTGGCGGTGCTGTTACAAAACAAATTACTGACACCTGGGTACCTCGTGAAGCATACGCAGCATATGCAAGATTAAAACCTTCCTACTTAAAAAATTAATCATAAATCTTCCATTTAAAAATCACCACAAAATTAACTGTCATGGACTAGCTAACGAGTTTCATCGCCTAACAAGAAATGCAATTTAGTATCGCAGGACATAATGTAATAAACCTTCGAAAAGGAGATGGGTTGGACAGGTTTTGATTAATGTTGCTTCAGGAATGTTCTATCAGATCTGCAACTATGATTTAATGGAGCAACTGGGACGCGTAGCTTGGACAGGAATCAAGTATGACTTGAATTATGTTGGGTTAGGCACAAGATGTTTAAATGTCCTGTCCTCATCATACAATGCATTTTGTGTTCTTAGTATTATGAATGCGGATGTAAGTCGGTGTGTTTGTTAAGAAGACTGGCTTGAACTTGTGAGCATTAGATTTATATTCGTGTAATCCGTTTAGATATGGATAGGCCTTCAGAAGATGGATCGTACTGATTTACTTAAACTATTAATTAAAGACTATAATTATGGCACAACTTTTTCTTTACCATTTAATTTTACTTCTCCAAAAATAATTCCACTTAAATATTATTGTTAATCATTTCTTTTTCGGATCCTTTGGTTAAACACTAGTGTTACACTTCCCAAATAGAACTATCTAAATTATGTAACAATGCATTGTAAAAAGTGATTGAAAAAGAGTAACCATGGAGTTTCTTGCTCGTTCTTCTCCATAGGAATCTACACTTTGGAACAAGCAAATAGCTTCACTAGAGGACAGACGGACAGACTGACACATATGATATCTTTAAGTTAAACCTTATGATATCTTTTTTGCTTGACGTTCAAAAGTGACTTTTTTGGTCTATTTGAAATAAAGAATTTGATTTGATTTCGGTTTGCTAAATAAACTAAGAAAAAATGATAAAAAAATACAAAATCCAATATGACTCAAAGACCATCTGCGTAATAAAAACCTCTCTTATTATAGAATGAACGCACCCTTTTAGGCTTTCGTTTATGTCCTGGGCTAAATCTAGATCCCACGTACGTATAGGTCCAGTACTTGTTTTCGTTCTCCGACACTATATAAGCTAGGTTTTGCTCTTAGCCCTGACATTGCCCTGTGCGTTCACTATCAGTAAGGATGAAAATAATAAGTCTTGCTATATTTATCTGCGTGGTCTGTGTTAAGGGCGACGCGGGCGCTAAGGACGGGCGGCAACAGCGATTGTTATGTGAGTCTATTCTAATGGTCATTTTAAAAGATCTATAATATTCTTTTAGTTTTCTAAAGACAACAATAATAACCTAGGATAACGCCCCTATTGAATAAAACAATGTATCTTTATATTAATTGTCTTGATAAAATATCCTTCTAATCTTCTTTTTTGGGAAAAAATTGTGTTCTAACTTCGTGAACTGGTTGTTGATCTAACTGTATTTAGGCAAATCGCTTCTGCATCACTATTTTTAATAAACATATAATAGATCAATCTAAAAACTAAGCAAATAACTACAGAATATCGGGAAGTTACTAATACTTTATTTTTTTATTTTATTTATGTAGGTTAACCAACAATTGTTTACACTTATACATTTATTGAAAGCTAATGATTGGCGTAACATTTACAAGTGCAACAATTAATTAAAGGTTAGCACCACATGCACAAGAAAACAGCTTCATTTTAAAACAACTGAAATTAGATAGTATGTACTGAAGGAAATCGCTGACTTTGTAAAACTGATACCGCCCTTCAATATTGTGCGACTGACACTTAAAAAAATATGTATCATAGCCTGATTAATAAATAATATCGCAGAACAATTTTGGTAGCTCATTAGGAATTGGCGAACTTAGTATAATAAGGTTCATTTTATTCCGTATCAAGTATCTACCTAATGTAATTTACAGAGCAGTTAGTATAAAAAAGAAATTTGACTTTTTTATACTTACATATTTTACAACGCAGCGCTTAAAACCTATATTCAAAGACTAAAATTAACTAATTCGGTCTAGCCGGTAAACATGTGTGTAGCCAAGGTTTACCTAAGCGGGACCAACGAACAACAATTCATATTTATAATTGACTTTATTAATTTAAAAGGGTGCTAGGTTAAGCTATGTCGATCTAAAATAAAGGCTATTATTATTTTTATAATTGAATAATATAAATCTCCATCCGCGCAGCAGTTCTGACCTAACCTGACACACGATTCTGGTAGCAACACTGTTCAGTCTCCGTTTACCCTTCAACTAACAGCCCAAATAATGAGAAATTGAACTATTCAATCAAACGGCTAGTAAATCAGGCCGTTGTTGGTAGAATGGGTAATTAAGTGTGACATACTAATTACTTAATAAATATATTTTCTACATACAACATAAAAACACACATACATAAACTTGTATTATTATACGTACCTATAAAGTTCTAGTAAACTTATTGTCTTATTGTACATACACTTTATTCCAATAGCTATCTAGCTCAGTTCCATGTAATCTTACTAATACCAATATTATAAATGCGAAAGTTACGATGTTTGGATGTTTGTTATTCAATCACGCCAAAACGGCTGAATGGATCTGGATGAAATTTGGCACAGGCATAGGATACACTCTTGAATAGGACATAAGCTACTTTTTATCAACATACCACGCGGGCGATGCCGCAGGAGTAAGCTAGTTTTTTATATTTTTAGTAATATTAAATAATATTTTTAGTAATAGTAAATTAATCTGATAATGTATAAAACTACAAAATAAGGCTTTATTTATTTATATCGTATCGTTAAAGTATTAAAAGATTAAGAACATGTTGGTATGTTTATATTGTTTTTGAAATAACAATAAAGGATTATTTCTTGTTTGTTTAACATTTTAACTGGATCTCCTTGGATATTTCTATTTATAGTCATCAATGGTATTGAGGAAGTTGATGACTTTTTAAACCAATATGTTACAAATGTGATTATTTGAGCGTAAGCGTAAGTCTTCGCGGAGACCGAGGGTGAAAGGGTAGCTCCCTACTTAATTTTTATAATTGGGTTGTCTTTTGTATATCTAAACTAGATACATTTAAAAGTAACTAACTAAATTGCACCATCTGCATCCGCATGTCAACGGGGACAGCGCTTAGTAGTTAATTTGTTGTCAAAATATCCAATTTTAATATTATAAGCTACACTACACTACGATAATTGAAAAAGGCACTAAAGTAATAAATAAAGAAGACCATCAAAAATTACTTAAATATCTGCAAAATGAACGAATAATTAGAACCTAATTACAATTCGTTGGGCTATAAATATGTCAGTACCTAATCCGAAGGATGTTAGTTTTCACAAAACATTCAGGAGTTTCACTTTTAATCAATTACAAATCATTGTTGAGGTTTAGAAAAGTTCAAATATTTGAAATTCAAGTTACCATTTCATGGCGTCCGGACGGTAAAGGATAACCTGATTGTAAGCAAACAGCGCCGCCCGTGGACACCCGCAACAACAGAGAAGTTACAAGTGCGTTACCGACTTTTTGGAGATCAGGTTTTTGAAGATTTAGAAAAGGGGAAGGAGTTGGGGAGGTTAAGGATTGAGCTTCCTAACCTCAATCACACAGCGAAACACACCGCTCGGGCTGTTTCATGCCTTTTTTCCGTGAAGCCGTGGTATCAATATGGTCGAGACGACTCTTCAGTTCTGAAGTCTGACTTCAAAAATTGAAATTTTATTTACATATTAAAGAGGGCTTTTTGCAGTCTTTTGATATCCCTTATGTACCAGATAAATTTGACTATATGTAGTATTGTAATAAGTTTCTACCAAATTATAGGGAACTTTTATGAAAGTAGTGAAGAAAACCCTTGTCTGTTCTGATTTTACAAAGAAGAAAGATTTGATGGTTTGTTTGTATCGAATACGCTTCGAACTACTTGACCGATTTAAACAATTATTTAACTACTGAGAAGCTACGCTATTCCCAGTGAATATAGGTTATATTCCACGAGGGTGAAACCGCGTGGCATAGCTAGTTTATAATAAAGGTTGAACTTATTATCATTCAACGGCTACAATACCAAATTTCAAGCCGCTGACAAAAACCGTAGTAAAACTGGCCAATTCAGGAATCAAACACATTCCTTACACCCAAATTACGCCCATTAAAAATCATTTCAGTATTCCAAAATCAATTTTTCAAAATATTTAAAGGAACCTTATAGAATATCAATAGATTAACGGCTGAGTCTCGAGTATCATTTTACTTCAATAGACAATCTAGGCGGCGGGCGGCGGGCTATCCTTTCATCTTTCTAATACGGTAGACATGACAGGCAGTAAGGATATCACATACTAATGCGGCTGCCCGGTTATTGAACTCGGGCGATAACCTTTGCCTCAGAATAATGCAAGATTTTATATAAAGTGAATGTACATTAATTATTTATTATGTGGGATTTTTAAAACTGTGTTCCAATAAACACGTGTCTTGTTTTTCTTATTGGTCTGTAGTATAGCATATTTATTTCTATGTTAGATTTGAAAGGACAGAGAATTTATTTTATTATTTTCCACTTTAGGAATTTCTTTTACATGAGTGCGTTTATAGACAAGCCTATTAACACACACATCAACAATTTGTGAACACTGGCGACATATTGAGGAAAAGCCGTGACTATGAAATCACACGTATTGTTCTGGTTCTGAAATATCCAAAATGATAAAACAAAAAATTGCACTTCATCTTTGTAGTTAAAGCATTAACTGTTTTCGGCTTTAGGAGCTTTTTGCCACCCAATACACGTCATATCTAGACACCTTTATTACCTATTAAGAAATTTGGAAATACATAAAAAAATCTGTTACTTTTGTCCAGTTTAAGACAATATTGTTACTGTACTTATTGCCTTACTGTTATTGTAACTTACACAAGTCCACTTTCGATGCTCCTCTTTGGCATTGCATTCTTTCCATTTCAAAGAATGCCATATATGAAATCTCCAAAAAAGTATAAATAAAAAAGTTAATACTATCCCAACACCATGTATCTATGTTTTGCACATGCAACAACCAACAAAGTAGATTATAGTCTTATTTAAAAAAAATAACCTATAAAGTAGGTACAGACTGTCGGAACACTTAGCGCTTATTTATTAGTGCGTGCACTCTCGGGAAATTTATTACTGTGTTCAGTTTCAGAAGAGCCCCATTCATCTTGCAGTCCTTTATTTTGTAGTCGCTTTAAGGAGGATTCATACGTCGTCGGCCACTTCACGGATTCGTACCGTGTTGCCGCTGTCCCTTTATATGTTAATGTTTTTAATATTGTCGATATTTATTCAATTGTATACGCGATTATAAACAGTTGTATTTAGGTGTCTGTGGATTTATTAGCACATAAGATTAATTAACCTACGACCTGAAATACGATGAACTTACGTTTGTCCTAAATTGAACTCTTAAGGTCGGTGACTCCTAAGTTTCAGTAACTGAAAACAACAAAATTATTTCTATAATATTGGTAGGTAACGAATGCTGCTCATGACGCAACTCGAAAGGAGTTAAAAAAACATTGCCGACTTTTTGGTCAATTTGGGGTTTGAAGATTTGAGGAAACTAGTTTAGGGGCCTCGTATTTATTTATAGTTTGCCCTTTGTTTAGCAGTGAACAAATTCTGAATGAAATTGAATTGAATTATAATTGTTTTCAGTTTACGACGAAGATGGTAACTTGGTGAAAACATATCCCAATCCATTCCCAAACAACCCGTTTCTGCAGAACTTGAGGCTCAACGCTGGACATTGGCCTTACTATGGAAGCTTCTTGAATCCATTCTTCGGTTTCATTAAAGTAAGTAGATAATATACTGACTGACTTCTTGTCCTTTCATCATTGATTTATTTTATGCAGTCCGCTCTCTTCAATTTCTAATCTTTAAAAGACAGATGAGAAAAACGTTTCAGCTTCTTTATGTTCCTTGCAGACATACCGAAAATATATTTTATATTAAACTTAAAAGAGTTTATATTGCAACAAACAAATTTGTTCAAAATTTCTTATATTCAATGTTAATCTTCACAGGACTTCGGCAACGTTTTCTCCTTAACAATTCCAGTATCAAACGAAGTTATAAAGCAAATGCAAAAGGACCCGGCGTACCACAACAAGCTGTTGCTCACTCATACTCCAGACCCAATAATCGAGCCGAACCCTCTCTGTGAGGGCAAGAGGGCACAGATTCCCTCACCGAAACTCTGTAACAATTACCTCAATTGTTGGGATGGATGGGCGGTAGAACAGGAGTGCCCACCTGGACTATTGTTCTCTAATCAGGGATACTGCGACTACTCTGATAACGTGAACTGCGAGAGCAGGAAATTACGTAAGTATAGTTATAAATTAAGGTTTTTACGTAAATCGACCACTCTCTAATATTGTAGCTTCATCATCACCATCCTCATCAACCTCTACATATCCAATACCGAGCAAAGGCCTCACACGAACAAGGTTTAAGCATTATTAATTTCCAGCTTGCTCCAGGTGGGTTATCGATTTTAAACACAATTACAAATTAAATTTAGTTTTCCTCATAATGTTTTCTTTCAACGTATGGGACTGTGATCCAAGTAATCTTAGAAAGTAAATAAAACTCGGAAAAAATCACAATGGTGCCTACCAAATTCAGTTTCAGAAGTCTTACGGTACCTACCAGATTTCAGTCTCAAAAGTCTTACCAGGTTTCTAAGCATTTACAAATGGCCCCCTAAACGTCAGAACTACCACGATCTTACACTGTATTGCATCATACACTTTAAACAGACAACTGTACTTCTACATAAAATTCCACAATCACAAAAAACATAATATTTTATACACAAGAACATTTACTTACCTAAAAGTTTTTTCTTCCGGCCGGGGTTCATTGACCTAATACGTAGTAGACAGTACCTAACAGGTCAATTCTTTCATCTTCAAATGCTGATGTAAGAGATGTCTAAGAATTGTGTTACATCAGTTTCATAAATTCTTTGTCCAGTTGCAGCTATTGCAGGTGTAACTAACTATAATATTATAACTGAATCTTTGTAGTCTGCGAATAGAAGTGTTATTCCTTTTGACTAAAAACCATCTCGTTCCTACTACTGCTCCGGGCCAGCGCTGTGGGCCATTATTGAACTTGAACTCAAAATAACCCATACTTTTAGGTCTTACGTGTGTATAATTTGGTTTTTCTTTGTTTTGCCGACCTTTTAGAAGTTCTTAGGAAATTGAGGATTAGGGTTTTGGGAATGAGACAGCGCCAAAGAATTGGACCTCTGGTCAACTCACTCACACGACAGAAGTGTTGTTTCACGCCGGTTTTCTTTGAGGTATCTATCACTCATCATCCCATTCCATTGATTGAAGAACAACTAGATCATCAACAAGATCTCCTATGGCCCTACAACTGCCAATCAGACACATGTTAAACACAAAAACTTTTGCGACATTTATTGGTTATGTGAACATTAGATACCTACCTACTTTGCCAACGGATATGTAAATATTATTATTGGTAGATGTCGTCAGACGTGGAAATGTCAGCCAAGTTATATAAAACGCGCAGTCGTGTCGTCTCCGTTACGACACCTTACACTTCTGACCCGGTAAACCGGTCACGCCTATAACCTTAATGCTCATATGTTGCTTTGAACCCTACGCATCTAAGTAAAAGTGGTTTTATTAATGCAGAACCATTAAAGTAGAAACAAATACAATGTCTCTTGAGTAGAATAGCGTGGGATTTTAATTCGAACTCCTTTCTTGGTAATATTCAATTGTACTACATCGATGTGTGAAGCAAAAATTACGATGAATGTTAGTTGTATCTTTTCAAGATGAATGATAAACTAGACGTGTTGATATGGAAAAGAAAAAAAGTAAAACAAATGAACCTGTAATGAAATAATTCAACTAAAACGTGTTATTGTGAACCTAACCAAACAATCTATGCTTGTAAAAATCCAATAAGTCTTAAATCTAACAACTCTGGCTGCCTGGGCAACTGGCTGTTGTTAAACGAGTCTCGGATTCGATAGCCGCACGGCTCACGGAACAACTCTTTATGTAATCTTCAAGTTGTTGTTCTGGTATCAGTAATTGTATATGAGTTTGATATAATTGTAAATGCACCAGAGAAAATCCTAAAAATGTATATAATTGGTTATTTTTATCAGGAGAACAGCCGCCAACACAACCACTGTGTAAGAAGGACTTCGAAGCGTTCCGGAGTGCTCTCGACTGCAACGAGTTCTTCGTGTGCGTTGGACGACAGCCCGTCAAGTTTAAGTGTCCTGCTGACCTTTCATACAACCAGGTAACCAATATAACTTGCAAAAGAAAATCGACTTTAAATCAATTATAATAGCTATGATAATTAAAGTTTTAACTTGTGGCAAAATTCTGATGATAAATAATTTTTAATTGTTTCCCTTTAGTAAGATTGTTCATGTTAACTACCTGCCAATTAATCTGGTATTTTAAATTCGATTTCCAAAACGAGTAAGTAGGAATTCGCATACATTTTACAATCAGCAAAAACAAGTTGATATGTATCGTTTAAAAACTCATAAGAATTAATAAAAATTAGTCGTGGAATTTCCCCATAATTGTTCTCATATTTTGCCAAGTTCTTTTTCAATATCATCATGACCCATACCGTAACTAAAAATACTCGAAGCTGTTCAATTCATATGGAAATTCTCAATGCAATAATATCCTCAGCTTTTTATGGTTTTATTACACTTTTGCTGTATGCCTACGCAATTACTTCACAATGATCATTTGTATTGTGTTTACTTTTCAACACTGTTTACTTATAAGGGTTACTGAGTCATTGCAAACTTTATCTTAAAAAAGGAAATGTCTAATAAATTTAGTGTTCAACTTTTTAACTGCATTGTTATAAGTAAAATCCTTAACAATTTTTTCTATAGTTTCTATCATTGTATTTTGTTCGTCTTTTTTGTCTTAGCAACTTGGCGTGTGTGACTATCCTACACGAGTGGACTGTACATCAACTGCAATCAATACTGAAGTCTTTGCTCCTCAATCCACATCAATCGCCACAGCTGCACCAACTACTGCTTCTTTTGCATCTCCTACACCTGCTGCATCAACTGCCGCTCCACCTGCATCCGTTGCTCCATCTATTGCACCTACTGCAACATTTGCTCCACCAGCATCACCCATCATAGTTGCCGCACCCCCCTCTTTATTGAAACCTGATGGTATTAAGGCTGTGTTTTCCGAAAACTCCATAGTAAATACCCAAAGTGAGTAAGCTAATTTTACAACTTTATTAGCGTCGCCTTATTAATTTTGCTCGTAAACATATTTAGCGTGTATTTTCAACATCAATATAATGTACCTAGTTTTACTTAAGTAAGAATTTATTACGATGTGAATGGAAACAAACTAATTAACGAATGTTCGAGTCTTGCCCAAATGATTAATTAAAATGTTAATAATTTTAGTGTTGTAACCTAAACATTGCGTTCAGTGTCTAATTAAAGTCAAAATAAACTAGTGCCACTAACTATATAGTGCGACTTTAAAGCAGTAATAGACTACTAATCAACATTCAAATAGTGATTTGATTACTTCATTTTAGCATTTATTAAGATTGGGGAAGACTAATAATATTCTTCATATTTTAAATCTTAATTTTAACCAATATTTATTGACATTTCAGGTTGGACTTCCACACACATAGCCATGTCTCGTCAAGACGCCATCCGCCAACTGCAGTTTGGTAACATCGCCAAAGCCGATATTTAATTGCAATTCTTAAAACTAGGTATAGGTTTTGCTACGTCTACTGCCATAATATCCAGTTTTACATTAGACTTGTCTGACAAGAGACAAAACAAGTCATGTTCTTGTACCACTTTGACTAAAATATTGCAACACTAACAGACCATGTTCGAATACATATCAATAAGTAGAATTGAGAAATTAATTGGTCATAAATCTAGTTCAGCTACAAGGTGTCTGCCTAGATTAATAATCATTTCTTATTTAAGACTTGCTTTAACAGCAAATTGCATTTTAATTTATTGAAATGATTTCTTAATAAACTATCTAATCATTTGCTTTGTTTATTATTTTTTCTCGTCCATGACTTTTAGTCTGCTTTATTTGTAGTTCGAAAAAGGTTAGCTACTTTCAAAATAAAATGTATGTTTGTATAAAAATATGATTTATTTACAAAATATTAAAATATAAGATCGCTTAACTTAACTTACATAAGTGTTATGACTAAGAACATAGATTTCGACACAGTACCGACACATTGTGTTGGTACCATGTCAAGGTTTTTGAAGTTTTCCAAAAATTTGGCAACAATATTGTTCTAGACACAAAACAGATCAAAAATTTAAGTGGGCTCGATTCACTTTTGGAGTCCATGAGAAACAGATACTCGAGCGCCTCTTCAGACAGACAAAACTTTTCTTGGACTTATTGAACGTCATCTTCACACAATTAGAGTAACAGAGAGAAAATTTGATAATGAATTGATTGTCAATCATCGTGTAAGATGTTTTGCAATCAACATGTTGCCACTACAGCACATACAAACCCTTACAATAACTTGACTCTGAAGAGGCCGTTTGTTTTTTTAAATCAAATGGAACGGGTTAAGCTTCAGTCTGTCCTTCGAGCCGCTCCTTGACATTCAGAATCCCAACTTCTTCAACGCTTTGAGGTCGACGTCACCGTAGTAATCCTCGCTGTAATATTATCATTTTATGAAATAACTGCTATTGTTTTATTGCTAACTGTATAATTGGAGACATTGTATTAATCTCCTTTTGTTATATTAATAGCATAATCAAAGCTCTGTTTTAATTGTTTAAAAAATACATCATTAGTTCCTTTAATATCGTCAATACCATCGTTAATTTTATTTAATGCGGGACAATGACCCAGTTTAGCTTTGTAAGAAAACTAATGTAAATTCGAATTTTATTAAACTTTAGTAAACTTAAAAATGTTTAGATTTCGTTTATGAAATGTGTTACAGAGAAATTTGAATCGATGATATGAATTTCGAAAGTCAGAAAAAACTTATGATCTTTAAACCAAGAACAGAATGTAGTTTCTAAAAAAATGGATATAATGAGTTTACTTACACAGAAGTACACTTTATAATGTATTGGTATCAACGTTAAGTAATAATTTACGTACCTGGATACCCAAGGATGACGATTCGCTGTTACAGTGAGTAAAATAAAATTAGACAGAGGAAAATTACAAAGAGAACCAAGAAAATATTAATATTATTATTAGAATAGAGAATGCAATTAATGAAACAGAAAATAGTGAGGTGGAAATGTTAGGACACGGTGCTATAGTGCATCACTACAAAGGTAATAAATACAACAGAGAGTAATTTTTATAAATTTTTGTTTATTTTATCACTAAAAATAAAACTTAAGTATTACAGTTTCTATCAAACAACAACACTCAGTCGCAGCGAAGTAATTCAGTACAATAATATATTTACAAGGTCATGGTATACAAACAGATACAATGCTTTATCGATGTCTTCGACGATTTTAAACAGAACTACGTTGTCATAAATGCCAAACAACTCTTTTTAACAGTCGAGTTGTTTATTGTCAAAACTTTATACAGATTCTTATAACTGGTATCGATATAATAATGTTGAAAGGACACTATAAATTCTAAAGTATAATGTAAAAAATAATAAATATATCTATCGCTGTATGGTTTTACTAATTTCCTAACGTGCCTCAATGAAACTGTTCGAAGAAGCTACAACGAGAAGTATTTGGCAACTAGAAGTGATACATATCAACTGTAGCTCACTCACTATTAATCGAATTTTTGAACCTGGAACACGAGCTCCACACACCATGAGCAACGGTTTTATTTCTTTACAAAGTTAATGCATCTGTATTCAGCCAGACATGTCACATTTATAGAGGTTGCTCGTAGTGCGCGAAGAGTATTGGTTTATAGTTAACTATGTGAGTATTAAAAGGTTATGGGGTGGGGAATTTTATTTAGTTCTCCTTTTGGGGGCGGGGTTTGAGCTGCTTGGGCGTGTTGCGGCTCTGGCCATCTTGCTGGAGGCCGGCGAGCAGCTCGCTCTTGCGGATCGTCTTCAGATCCAGATCCCCGTAGTAGTCCTCGCTGAAAATGTACGCGAACCTTACTGCCTGCCTCGTCTACTAGCTAACCTTAACTCTATATCTTATTGCCTACCGACGACTAGTGACTTAAACATTAAACATACTCGTAAATGGCTATCTCAATTTCTAGCAACTTTTACTACACGAGTGGTAACTGGCTGCGAGAATTGTGTAATTTAATCTTGTACACAGTCGGCGTTAAAGAGTGAACCGCCTTGAAACGGCGACACGAATGATATCCGCTCGCTTTTCCAACTAACGTTATCTAACGTTTGTTTTTCTTGACCATTATGTGGTTCGGAGCTCTCGCAGAACTTTTGAAATCGAAACGTTTCTCGACCTTCGTTTAATGTGATATATCGTGACAGGCGCAAGCGCATCGCAGTATCGATCTGTTTGTGATTGTTCGACGTACATAGACCATGAACTGGATACAATGAAAGTCCCCTCATTGCTTCAATTAGAGGTAACTTCAGTTCCAAGATAAATACTGACTGATATCTCTAGCGTATGGCGAACTGATTAATTGTTGCAGTAATTAAAAGTGCGCTATACTTTCATAAATGACAACTGGTTACGTTCGAGCGCCAAGAGTTGAAAAAAAACTCATAACTATTTCATGATTGCATGTCTGCGCCAGTCACCGGCATTCCTTTGAACATTTCCTCTTTATGAAAGGCATTGATAATTCAACCTTTGTGTTATACTCGAACAGTTACGGTTGATACAATATGTTTGTGTAAAACAACGGTCATTACCATACACACTCCGTTATGTACCGGTCGGCATTGACCACGGTCGTCTGCGCATGACACGACGGTGAGCGCACTATTTTGCTCTAAGTCATGCTAATTTCGAAGTGTCCTAAATGTCGCAAGCGTGCAAGGCTCCGAACCGCATAGTTGCGGCCAGCTATTCAGGTGGGCGAGCTTTACTACGTATCCACCTATGTCTACCTACACAACATCTGTACAATGCTGATCGATCCGTGTATAATAAAGCTTAGGCAACACATATATAGTGCAACCGATCTGTGTTCGTATTTCTTTCATTATTTATTTATGTGCAAGAAGAGTTGTTAGTCACAAGGACGACATTGGTTGTGTGGAAGTGGTTACAGGGTCTTAGGGTTTGGGACACCAAGAATATCATTATACCAGATTAATGTGTTGTGGGGATACCCATTCAATATTAGTTATTCGGTCAAGAATTTCATGATCATTAGGATACTTTCTTGGTGTCACATGATTAGAGTAGGTACCAGATGTTAATGTACCACACAAGACGCTGAACACCACAGAACCAGTATTCAACCAGTGAGTAGAAGAGTCCTATGGTGCGTTCAAGCTGCTTGTCATATCTGCTTTACTTGAACGGTGTGGATAGGACATCCGCATTCAGTCGTGCAATTATTATTATTAACAAAAGCTCCTTGAAACAGGAGTCATCAGAAGTTCAGCTGCATTTGATGTTTGAATGCGTATGTCCCATCAATGTGGTGTGTATGCAATAATTATGTACACGAGATTTTAGAAAGGCAACTCACCATCCGGGAACGTCTTCAGGGTCTTCGCAGTTGCCGGTGCCGTCAGCATCACCGATCTTGAACACGGTACCAATGGGGCAACCGTACTCGCGGGCGACTCCCTCCAAGCAGATGTAGTATTTACGGCAGTCTTCAGGGTGGGCGTGACGGCTGAAGGAGCCAGCGTTGGACACCTCACCGGGAGCGGGGCAAGCGAAACCGTTCGCTACTTCTGGGAAACACCAAACAAGGTTACGTGAGCGAGAGTGTGGAAGGCGAAACCGAAATGCAGCAGCGACAGCGGTGATGAAGTTAAAATATAGTCACTGAAATAGATTTGTGCAAAGATTCCACGTGATGTACGACGGCGGATAGTTATCTCTAAGTAATCTCCCTGTTCACCATTACACCAGAAACGAAATATTCAGTCTAAATTGAATCGTTTTCAGACGAAATAACGTTTTTGAAGAAATTAAATTTGAATTATTGAGCTTCAATTACATTTTCAAGGTTGGAAGATATGCGATCACGAACTTTCATTTATACAAGTCATCGACCATAAGTCGACAGCAGCTCGACCGCAAATTAATAAGGGTGCTGTAAAGGTTTAATAACTGTTAACTGATTAAAAGGTTATATACCTTCGTTCTTGCACTCGGGGACCTGGTCAGCCCACATGCACACACGGGATTCTCTGTCGTAAGCGAGCCCAGGGCTGCACTGGTAGCGGGAAGCCTCTCCGTTCCAGCAGTTCCAGAAAACGTCGCATTTGGCCTCATCAGGGAAGATACCGTACAGCCTCTGGCAGTGAGGGGTTGAGATCGGAGGCTCTGCAGAAAAAAATGATTATGACGAAAACTGACTTACCTAATAACACATCTAATTTATCTAGCATATAAGACAAAACCTGTTTGTTCACTCAAATTAATGTTTTGTTCAATCATCCATAAATAACAGTGAAACAAAAAAAATCTGCATCAAAACATTCTTGTTTCTCCGAAATGTCACTCCGTTTTAAGGATATTTGGCTATCAATCATCGTTCGACAAAAAGCTCTCAATCTTCATTTCCATAAAAAGTCCATCAGAGTTTTG